CCAGTGGGACCCCTTCATCAATATTCTTTAGAGTTAGCTTATCCAACACTCTTATGTAATACAACGTATGCATCTCTTGTTCGGCAGGCCTTATTTTTATATTAGTTTATCTATTATAAAATATAGTTTTAATTTAAGGTCATCTATCTATGACATCCATAATTGAGTCGGTTATAGGCTGTTCCAACTCATTGTGTGGAGAGAAGGGTCCACGCTGTACCTTCCTAACTGCAATATGCTTGTACAGGGGCGTAGCGAGGGGGGAGGGCGGGGGGTGCGGACCGCACCGGGTGACACCATTTAGGGGGGTGACCACAAAGGCAAAAAAATAGCAAAATATATAGAGAAAAAGTTGAGGGGGTGGGGGTGCAAATCGAAAGTTTGGGGGGGGGGGGGTGCAAATCGAAAACTTGAAAGTTTGTCGCAACGCCTCGGGGTGGGGGGGGGGGTGACACCATTAAGTGCCGCACCGGGTGACACCCGACCTCGCTACGCCACTGTGCTTGTAGGTTATCAAAACAAAATGCTGTTATCATGTTAACATCATGTATATCATACATTTACACTTCTGTGCTCGCTTTTAATAAGCAACATATCTTTTATGTTGTAAATTAAACATTATCAAAACTTTAGAATTGGTGGAATTTAGCTGTTAAGGGCTCGATTTGTTTGTGAATTAATGTTGGTTCATGAAAAAATAATTTCATTCGGGCATTAAAAAGAGGTTATGGTGGTATTGGAGGTAGGACACAATGGTTACTTTTATGCCAATAGTGGTCATATTCATTTTTCTGGAGCCAATATGTCGGGAGTCATTTTGTCAAAAGCCAATATGTCGGGAGCCCAATTGCCGGGAGCCAATATGTCGGGAGCCCATTTGTCGGTAGCCAAAATGTCGTGAGCCCATTTGCCGGGAGCCCATTTGTCTTGAGCCCTTATGTCGGGAGCCAATATGTCGGGAGCCGCTTTGTCGGGAGCCAATATGTCCTGAGCCTATTTGTCAGGGGTTAATATGTCGGGAGTCCATTTGTCGGGAGCCTAAATATCGGGAGCCCATTTGTCGGGAGCCTATATGTCGCAAGTCAATATGACGGGAGCCCATTTGACGGGAGCCAATAAGTCGGGGCCCTTTTGATGGGGCTATTTTGACGGGGTCGGTTTGTCGGGAGTCGATTTGACGGGGTCGTATTAACGGGGCCGTTTTGACGGGGCCGATTTGTCCCGGGCCGTTTTGACAGGGCACCATATATATATATATATATATATATATATATATATATATATAAACAAGATCTTTGCTTATCAACCTACACATTTATCGATCACACCACTTTACTTACGACAAACAAATTTGACAAGGTCTCTCCCCTGAACAAATAACATGAGCTTTGTTTCATCTTTGATACAGGTAATATTGTTCACACAAAGCATGAACGCTTGGAAATCTCTATAAATAGGAGTAATCATTAAATGAATATTACTATGTGTAAATAATAATAAAATAAAAACGTTTGATAATATCTTAAATGTTATCAATACCTGTACAATCTGATATTTTGGCAGCTAACAAGAATGATTTTTAGTCAAGTGTAAATCTGATAAGTTTCCCATAAAAGTGAGTAATCTAACTTACCTGCAAATTAAATCTACTTTATCCTCGTGCAAGAGAAAGTTCTCGTTCAAACTGATGAAACATTCATCTACGGCAGCGCAAGCTGGTTTGAAGCAGAGGACAAATTATACACAAGATTGAGAACATGTTCTTCTTAGTAAATGACCAATAACATTTTGAACATCGAGTTATGTAATAATTTTATTGACAGATGTCTAGATTTAATAAAACATAACTTCCTTACCAAGCGAGATGGCTTGTCTTAAATGAATAGGATAAATTACCCCTAGCTTAACACTGATACATATTGTACGCACACACACATATATATGTATCTGTCAGGGGCGTAGCGGGGGGGGGGGGGCGGGGGGTGCGGACCGCACCGGGTGACAACATTTAGGGGGGTGACACCAAGGCAAAAAATAGCAAAGTATATAGAGAAAAAACTTGAGGTGGGGGTGCAAATCGAAAGTTTGAGGGGGGGGGTGTGCAAATCGAAAACTTGAAAGTTTGTCCCCGGGAAGGGTCGCTACGCCTCTGGGGGGTAACACCATTAAGTGCCGCACCGGGTGACACCCGACCTCGCTACGCCACTGGTATCTGTATTATTTATATAATATATTAATGTTATTTTTGTCATCAACATAAAACAAAGATGTATTATGAACATAAAATTATCGTTATTATTTAACATTAAATCGTCTGGTAAAATTAACATAATTAATGACATTTTAACTCACGTGGTGCTGTTGTCTGAGCGTCAATGACTAGAAATGATAAAAAGAAAATTATAAAATTATTCTAAATACCCGAGCTTATTGCTAATTAATTCAAAAATATAAACACATACAACGCATGTAACATTTCAGTTTTTTTTTAATTCTGAGAGAAATTAAGTAATCTGACTTATTGGCAGAATTGGAATATTGTTTTAAAGTTGAATATTGTTTTAAATTTGAACATTGTTTTAAATTTAAATATTGTTTTAAATTTGAATATTGTTTTAAATATGAATATTTTTTTTTTAAATTGGAATATTGTTTTGATTTTGAATATTGTCTTAAATTAGAATATTGTTTTAAATTTGACATTTTTTTAAAAATTTGAATATTGTTTTAAATTTGAATATTGTTTTAAATTTGAATATTGTTTTAAATTTGAATATTGTTTTAAATTTGATTATTGTTTTAAATTTGAATATTGTTTTAAATCAAGGAAAGCCATTTTTAATACATCTATTTATATTAAAATTGATTTAAAATAATGCTACATAAAGGTACGTTTTTCAACTTATTTAAAGCTTAAAAGTGCATATTACATTTGTATAAATAATCAACAACAAAATTATAAAAAATTTTACCTCCTGTTAAAATAAAAAGACAGACAATTTGAAGCATCATTTTAAAACTAACTTTCATACGATGGGGTGAAAATTATGCGACATAAAAGTTATCTGAGTGTGTAGCAGCATGATTAAATAGTGGTAAGTTGTGCAAGCACCGAATGTGTGGGGTGTTGGGTAGGTGGGTAGGACGGGAGGGGCTGATTGATCACGTGACCGATGTTTGATGAAAGACGCTGATTAAATAAAGGACGGTCTCAGCGTTGCTCGACTTCTGCGGTGACGCTAGACTCCTGGGAGATGGTGAAGGTGTCGGGGTAGCTGGCAAACTGTCGCTCCGTCAGTGACACGCTGTCCCTCTGTCAGTGACACGCTGGACCTCTGTCAGTGACACGATATCACCCTGTCAGTGACACGCTATCACCCTGTCAGTGACACGCTGTACCTCTGTCAGTGACACGATATCACCCTGTCAGTGACACGCTGTACCTCTGTCAGTAACACGATATCACCCTGTCAGTGACATGATATCATCCTGTCAGTGACACGATATCACCCTGTCAGTGACACGCTGTACCTCTGTCAGTGACACGATATCACCCTGTCAGTGACATGATATCATCCTGTCAGTGACACGATATCACCTTGTCAGTGACACGCTGTACCTCTGTCAGTAACACGATATCACCCTGTCAGTGACACGCTATCACCCTGTCAGTGACACGCTATCACCCTGTCAGTGACACGCTGTCCCTCTGTCAGTGACACGTCATACCTCTGTCAGTGACACGTCGTACCTCTGTCAGTGACACGCTATCACCCTGTCAGTGACACGCTATCACCCTGTCAGTGACACGCTATCACCCTGTCAGTGACACGCTGTACCTCTGTCAGTGACACGCCGCCGCCATGACAGTGACACGCTGTCACTCTGTCAGTGACACGCTGTCCCTCTGTCAGTGACACGCTGTACCTCTGTCAGTGACACGCTGTCCCTCTGTCAGTGACACGTCATACCTCTGTCAGTGACACGTCGTACCTCTGTCAGTGACACGCTGTACCTCTGTCAGTGACACGCTGTACCTCTGTCAGTGACACGCTGTCCCTCTGTCAGTGACACGTCATACCTCTGTCAGTGACACGTCGTACCTCTGTCAGTGACACGCTATCACCCTGTCAGTGACACGCTATCACCCTGTCAGTGACACGCTGTCGCCCTGTCGGTGCTATTCTCAAATCAATGATGGCAGCTCAGTGTAAAAAATATGACAAGAAAGTTAAGGCAGATTTTAGGGTGTAAAATGTACACAATTGTTTGACTACCCGTCGGCTTGTCAGGGACCCATTCTGCTCTAATCGATACCAGGCATAATTACATGAATAACTAATTAACATCAAGATTTTACACGGGCTTAATTCAGCTGTCTACATTCTACTTCACCTGCATATTGGATCGCGCGGTCTACATAGACAATTTATAATTTTACCACTTAAGTGATGACTCCTATTATTTAAACACTAAATGATGACCCCAATTCCTGAACCACTTAATTGATGACCCCTATTCCTGAACCACTGAATAAGACCCCAGCTCCTCACTATGACCAATGAGCTTCCAGCACCAACTGTACCAACATTCTTTGAATAAAACTTACCCGTCTCACCCCCCCCCCCCCGAAGTTTACACAGCGTCATACTTTCACACACTGGCTTTATGTTTAAACATACACAAAGACCCCACCCACCCACACACCGACCCCACCCACACACTACCCCAATCAGTGTCGACACACATTCCTACACAACAAATATTTTCTATATAAGGATAAACCCCTACACTGAACACCCATATTTCATAACTTCATCGAATAAGTTCTTATTTCAAACATAAATTTTACCTCCCACTAGTCGTCCATAAGGTAAGAAATAAACTAAAGCGTTGTATTTTTCTTATTGAAACTTTCCTCAGAACTTGAAATAGTAAATGGTTCAACCACGCCGTGCATGGCCTCTCCCCCTTTAAAAAATCTCCTTTCCTACAACCATTTTATCCATACAGTCTTCACCCGTGTCTGTCAATGTTTACATCTACCACCTCTGTCAACATCGGCGTCTCGGCAGTTCAATAGCTACCCACACACCGTGGGCGTCTCTATAGTTTAGTAGCTACCCACACACTTCTGACGTCTCGACAGCTCAATAGCTACCCACACTTCATCGGCGTCTATATAGCAAATAAACTACTCACACAACATCACACAAGACACATATAAAAGATTACATTGTCGTGAGAGGTCCTCAACACAGACAGTTTATTTATTAGGTATTCAAACTGTGAAATAAAAAACATGATAGCTTATCTGTGGTATAGATAAAACATTTTTTGGGTAAAAAAAATGTAAGATAGTATAATGATGAAGCAGGTTAATGATGTAGCCTCCTCTAGATATAAAACCACCACGACATGATGACCACGGACAATAAGGCCAGGGTTCTACTGCTGTAGGCTAGAGATGCAGCAACTGTTTGGTAAAAAACGGGAATATTTCATTTCTTCAGTTGATACGTTTCAAGTTTATCTGCTACGTTAAATCGTGTACGGCTATTACACGTGAACTTCTTTTTCTTAATTCTAGTGAAGGGATTCCCCCCAACACAATTAAGGATTACGTGCAAACGTCGTGTGCGCCATTGAGGCCATTGACTCCGATTTCAGCCTGCTTTCCTTTCTGGATTTGCTTCCATAGCCTTTGTCCAACCAAGAACAAACTACAAGGAAGCAGCTGTTTGATTTAGTTGTCTTTCCATGATGACATATTCACGTTTCTGGGAAGCGTGTTCAATAAGCCCATATATTTAATTTTTATTATTATGATTTTACGGACAAAAGGCACAGATACAAATAACTACAAATCGACAGTCGCCAATGTTTCTAACTCTATACCAGGGTAGAAGTACAGAGCTGCCACACCGGAAATTCCAACTGAATTTACCGAGCTCCAGTTTCTACAAATCCACCCAGCACTAATGTGTACCTGGCATCGAGGAAAGTACAGGCAACTATTCAAACAAAGGTTAATCCAGCAGGATAACTCTACTCCATCTGCGCTTTATACCGTCAATATACTTAACTCTCACAACAATACGGAGCCTTAAAAAATTACTTTGATGCGCAAAAATTTTTATACAAAAAATAACTTACCACTTTTAGTTTTAACTGTATAATCGCCTGATAAATATGAAGATACAAAATACGCATTAGAACACTATGATCACATATTACTACGCACTACTTTCTAGAAAGTCATTTTAAGTATACAAATATAAATAAGTAAATTTTAAAAAAAGATATAAATTATATATATATATATATATATATATATATATATATATATATATATATATATATATATATATATATATATATATATATATATATATATATATATATATATATATATATATATGTAGCCTATATATATATATATATATATATATATGTGTGTGTGTGGGGGGTGAGTGAGTGAAAGTACAAATTATCCCAGAACATTTTTTAAATATCCAACTTAATCACTTATCAAAGTGAAAAGTAACTTACGACACAAAAAGCTATACTGACTTCTCCATTCATTTATCATATTGATGGTTTGACTATCAGTAAAGCAGTCGATGTTATTAAAACAGCGATAATATTCTTCGACATGGCTAAAATAGAAATTATTTTAAAAGTACAATGAATAACATCTTGTGTTTTTAATGTTTTTACTTTCTCGTATATACGAAGTATAGAGAAAGTCTTGTAATCACTGGTACGGAAAAACATAATTTTGCAATCTTGTCCGTATCTCTGTGTGAGTATATGTGTGTGTGTGTGTGAACACGATAACTTGAGTACCGTTACAGCTAGGTAGATGAAATTTCATATATAAGTATTTATCAAAATCGTAGCTCCTGATCAACTTTTGAGCGATTTCCGATAACCGGAAGTGGTACTTTTTCTACTTTGAATTTTTCAAAAGCCTATAACTTGAGTACTATTTCTGATAGATAAATGAAATTTCACATGTAAGTAAAAGATCTAATTCTCTACCTTCTGTCAAATTTCAAGTAATTTCCGTTGATCGCTATTTCCGATTTCTCAAAAAACGCATGTAAATTTATAAAGTACTAATAATATTGCGCACTATTATGCACATTTTGTTTTGGCGTTCGTTCTTTTTTTCTATGAGATTCTATTCTATTTTAAAAGTTTAAGTAATTAAAATCATGTCTATATTCCAAGTTATATAAGAATATTCGAGAAAGTTTAAGGGAGATCAGTCCCGGTTTTTTCTTCATGGTTTTAGTTAACTACGTGCATAATTGCTATGAGATTGGCGATTGAATTTACCTGCACAGTAAAGTGTGGCCACTCCCATACGATTGTGAGTTCGCAATATAACGGTCGTAGCATTCCATTTTTGCGTTTGCACTGCAATCTGTTTAAAAGAAGAGAAATGTACATGCTAGTTTCACTAAATTTTTAGAGAGAATAGGCAGCAACACTATGTGAATCCTAATGTCTTAATTTCTCAGAATTTGTTTAACTGAAGTTCGACTGACCACCCCCTCACCTTTGCTCCTCCCTTAAAATCATGTAGACTATTGATTCTTAAAAAGAGTTCAATTGAAACCCAGGGTTTGGTGAGTCAGTCTCAGTGGTTCCGCGGAGGTCATGACATCCCCCGAGATTTGATCTGTTAACGGATTTTGTCAGTGTCGACGATACAACGACGTATCGATACCGTGCTATTTCTATATCGTGGAACCCTTGACGTCACGACACACGCGTTACCCATTGTGTCAACGCCACCTATACAGGCGCGCATTGATCATGTACATACTTGCTTTGACTAACATAATTCTTATTTCGATAGTATCTCGTGTGATTTCTTTCTTAATATCTTAATACTTTTTAAAAAAAACTACGTAGAGCAAAAAATGAAAGTGGTCGGACGAATAAGTACAATATAGATTCACATATATAACGGAACGTGATTCGAGTCAGCTTCCTAAATGCTTGATTTGAAACGATACAAGAACACAACGCTCGCTGAAAACAACATGGAGCCAGGCAGAGGCGTAGCGAGGGGGGGGGGGAGGAAATATGTCCCCGGGCGCAGACCTTAGGGGGCGCCAAAATGGGTTGGAAATATAAATTGAAAGCTTGAGGGGGGGGGGGTGCAAATCGCAAAATTGAGGGGGGGGGGTACAAATCGAAATCTTGAGGGGGAGGGGGTGCAAATCTAAAGTTTGAGGGGGGGGGGGTGCAAATCGAAAGTTTGTCCGCGGGCACCGTGAAGGGTCGCTACGGAACTTGAGCCAGGTATTTCTGAACTGGTCTCTGAAAGTCAACAGCAGTAGTCGCTCTGATTTGCAATAAATATCCATTACTATGTTTTTGTATGAAATCTTATTTTAGTAGTTTTGTTTTTTGAACACAGTGTTGTAGATACACCTTTTATTTTGTGCACCAGTAAAGTGTTTTAATTTGTTTTAATAATATTTTAATTAAAAAATATTTTTCCTTTATTAAGCAATTTTTAAAAAAAATATAAAAGAAGAATAAATGAAGTTAGATGAAAGCTTGAAAAATAATATGAACCGGATGCATAAATTAGTCTAGTTTAATCAAAATTGAAATTTGGATTTCAAATTGCATTAGTTATATATTTTAATTTTGTGTTTTACTGGTAAAATACTCACTTGTTTGCGCAAAGGTATCTGAAGAAACAATAAAAACCATATTGTGTTGTATACAAAGTTAGTCATTTGATGTAATTTTACTGTTTAAAAAAGAAGGCTGTAAGTAAAGGGCAAAGTCCTTTGTACATCAAATTAATCTAATATTAATAACATTTTCGAAATATTGTACTAAAATTAAAATTATAGACAAAAAATATGATTTCGCAGTATAGGATAATTGATTTTACTGGGAATGCTTATATATTATTATCATTATTATTATTTTTTTACCTCCAAATAAAAAGAAGATTCCTAAAAGTCCTAAAATCATCTTCTATAAACCCTAAAAAAACCTTGAAGTTGTTAGATTGAGCTCAGTCCCGCCAGACCTGACGGTTTTGGGTGTGGTGGAGGTGTGATCGTAATCAGTCCTCTTCGTGGTACTGAGTGTGGTGCAGATTGGTACATCACGTGACGTTTATTTGATTTCTAATCAAATAAATGACGCCCGTAGAGACCATCTTTCTTAGAAACAAAATTTTTGAATAGAATAAGAATTTTTTTATTCGGATACCAGGAAGTATTTCGATGGGTTTTAGTGGTATCCGTGATCTAAATGGGCGTGACGGGTTAAAGAAGAATGCTGATTACATACAGCACCGTGTAAGCAACGCTTCAGTTCTGTAATGATGTGGTGCTGCGTCGTTGGGGTTGTGGTTGTGGTTGTGACTTGGTGAAGGTGGAGACGTGAGGCAGTAGGCAAACTGTCGCTATGTCAGTGACACGGTGACTGTTTATTTAATTTTTTTTTAAAATTCTTAATTTTTAATTTTGGTTCTAATTTGAAATAGATTTTCACAGGTGTAACTATATTGCACAAAATCTATTTTTTTTTAGTCTTCGACTATTTTTGTTTAATGCACGTAGACCTCCATGTCTAAAACAAGGCTGCTCTGATGGCTCTGTAGCTTTCACATTCAGCTTTAACCGAGCCACGCCCATTTTGTTTCCAATTATGCCCAAGACACATGGGGTAGAAAAAGTAGAGTTCATCTACTTCTAGTACCTTGGCATATGAGGTGTAGTGTGGTCAGAACTATGCCGAGCTTTCTTTATTTCCCTAACGTATGTCAGGTACCTATCACAGCTGGGCAGACTCAGGTAGGTCCTACAGACTTTCGGGTTAGCAGTCGTAAACTAACCGAATCACATAAACAAACTGAGAGGTCGTGAAGATGGTAAACTTCTCTTTCAGAGCGATTTTAGAACAGAAAGTATCAGCATACACATACATCCGTTACACCCCTAACCCCACTCCATATCCTAGTCTCCAAGATGGTGAATGTCGCGTGTGCCGGAAGTGGTCACTGACAATGTCAGCAGGAGCGAGGAAAATGATTGGTCATTAAGTTTATTCGCCAACAACAAGTGATTTCCTATTTAGTCTTATGCTCTAACGATCTACATTTCTGTTCTTATCAACTTACGTCTTAAAATGTAATCACCACTATAAATAGATAAATATTAACTAAAAAATATGCAAAAAAGTATTGACCCAAAGAATACATTAAAGAAAATAAAGTACAACAAAGCCAGCCACACATTGAAATATTTTATTTGTCTTGTATTGTTTGGTAATTGGAAGACATTTTACACAACATATACCATATTTTATTCACGCATTGAGATAAGACAAAAGACATACTAGTTTACTTGAGCGAAAGACGAAACAATTCTTGAGGTAAAAAAAAACGTAAAATATCTTTTATATATATATATATATATATATATATATATATATATATATGTAACTGGGGTAGGCCTGGCCACTAGTTACAACTGATAACGAACGATAAGCCGCGACGCAGTATGACAATCTGATGCAACTATAACAGGTGGCTTATTGAATCGGTCTGATAACAATCTCAAAGCCAACGCGTGCTATTTTGGGAAACGGTACGAGAAGTTTCAGACGAGCTGTCAACTTTGATTGATGGGATGCAGATGTTTTAGTAAATCGGACGGTACGTCAGAAACTGCGACATTAGTATTCGGATACATCGATTACAAGTATCGATTACGGAAATGGAGACAAGTACGACTACGAATACAAAGGATAAATAGGAGGGGACGGCTGAGATCGCTCTCTTCTCTTTTCACCGCTAGTTGTGACAGTATCAATGTTGGTTATTGAACGGGTTAGCCGTATTGTGTAAAGAAGGACTATAGACATGTGGATTCAGTTATACGAAGCCTAGTGAGGACTGTTAGGGGGTCAGTTGATCCAGACTATTATTGAGAAGCATTCCTGTTGATTTCTTGTGTGATTATGAAACATTTCTTGATTCATGTAATAAAGGATCAATAGCGAACCTGCATCTTGAGTATCTATACTGTGGTCGATGTTGTCTAGAATGAGTGGTCAGAACTCGTTAACATTTGGCACTACAGACAATTAGGTCTCATTACATGTGGCGTGCGAGCATAGTAACTGTTGGCTCGTTATAATTGGCGTTGTCGGCAGGATAAATGTCCGCCCGTTACAATTGGCGCTGCGATCAGGATGGATTCAACTAGACTTGCCGTTTAAGGCACCCATAGTCAACCTTGTGCATAACTGTGTTTTGTGTGTGTGTGAATTCGGACATTCAGGAACTGTGAAAATCGAGGAACGAGGAAAAATTTTTCATACACACACGGTAAGAAAGAACTCTTTTTTTTTTACTTAAGGAATAAAATGTCTACTCTGGACGAGAAGCGGACCCATATAGTGGTCCTACCCAGAGAGTCCCACATTAACAAATTTTACGGGGACGGAGATCCAACTTTAACCAACAGGTTCAGTGAAGAGGTCAAAGCGGCCTGGGCCTCGAGACACATGTCACCAGAGGAAAGATTAAGACTGCTGATGGGCAGTATAGGTGAAACGGTTAGGGCAGAGGTAAAATGCCACGATAAAACCGTCCAATCAGATCCAGATAAGGTGCTAGATCTGATTATGGAGACCTTTGGGGAGAGACGGTCGGGATCGCAACTGCTATCGGGATTCGTAGGCTTAAAGCAGAGAATGGCGGAGAGTGTGATGGAGTACTCACACCGGATGAACAGGGCCTTTGATTTGGTAAAGGGCAAAACACCTGACATTGATGTACGCCTACTGAGGGACCATTTCATTGAGGGGCTAGCAACCCCGATCTTAAGGAGAGAGTTGAAAGAGGAGGTCCACAGAAACCCGCAGTTGACCTTCCTTCAGGTCAGGAACTCAGCGATCCGCAGGTCCGAGGATGAGGACCAATCGAACTGTTCGGTGGACAAAGTCTCTGTGCCAGAACAGAAACAATCCCCACCCACAGGGGCCGACACGATGGAGACCATGATGGCTCAACTGTTGGCCCACATAGAGAAGGTTGACCAACGCTTGAAGAGGTTAGAAAGCAGGTCAACAGCTGAGAATCAGGAAAGGAACGAGACAAAACAGAGACAGGTTGGACGGCCGCGACCCGCCGGTCCATCGCTCCGGTGGACGGCGGATGGTAGACCAATTTGCTTGTCCTGTTCACAACCCGGACATATGGCACGGTACTGTCCGGTGAAACGATCGCCCTCTGTAAAGCAGGTCCAGGCTACAGAGAGGCGAGGTTATGACTTAGTAAACAAAATGACACAGAAACACAGTAAGGAGAAAAAGAAAGGTAAAACACAACTAATAGAAAAGATGAACTGTGAAATGAACTTAGATGTTAAAAAGTGTCAAGTGAACAATTTGTTGGATAAGAAAAAAATTGGTAGACTTAATAAAGGAATTCAAAGTCTAACCAGGAAACTGGAGAGGAAAAGTTCATGCAAATTAAAAGCACAGGAGAAATGTTCATCTTTAGAGTGTCTGTTATCGGAAGAAGTAAATAAAAATAGTAGACAACAGAACAGTGTTGGCAAACTAGAAAAAATGAAAGAGTCTCAAACAAGACTTGAAGAGAAATTATCAGACATTGAAAAAGAACTTCAAATTACAGCAAGGCTGGGATCCATCGAACAGCGATGGGCAGCAGAATTGGCACTCTCTGACCTAGAGATAAAATATCGCCCGGGGCGGTCCAATGGCAATGCGGACGCCTTAGCAAGGAATCCTTACGAGAGACCGGGCGATGAGGAAGAAACGCTGACAGGAATATGTGAGGTCAGAGCGTCAACAGATATCCCTCACGGGGTGCAAGTGATGCAAAACGGACAGACCGGGGTGGAGCACATTTCCACAGAGCCCGGACATATGGACATGAGTGATTTTAATTGCCTTAATCACAAACAGATAAGAGATGCCCAGAGAACGGATAGTGGGTTACAGCCGCTATTGAAATACGTCCAGGAACAAAAATTCCCAAGGAAAAGGGAAAGAGAACAATTTGGTCGGGAAACAAGGAAACTACTGAGTCAGTGGAACCGTCTCAGTATAAAGGATGGTGTTCTCATGCGGAGAATTCATGACCAAATAGACGGCACAATACACCAGGTGGTGGTGCCTGGACAATTACGAGGAGAAGTGCTAAGGTTGGCACATGACAGGGCAGGACACCAGGGTCAGGACAGGACCCACAAAATATTACGACGGAGGTGTTACTGGCCCAATATGGAGATGGAGGTCAAACGCCATTGTGAGGCTTGTGTGAGGTGTCAGCATGCGAAAATGCCAGTTGTCAAAATGAGACAGCCATCAGGACACCTACTGGCGACAAAACCACTAGAGATTGTGGCTATGGACTTTACGTCGTTGGAGCAATCATCGGATGGGACGGAATATGTGTTGGTAATGACTGATGTATTCACCAAATGGACTGTGGCGGTGCCCACACGAGATCAGACTGCCAAAACAGTGGCAAAGGTCTTAATAGAACATTGGTTCATCAGATATGGCATACCAAGACAATTACACTCTGACCAAGGAAGGGCTTTTGAGTCAGAAGTAATTAACCAACTGTGCAGTCACTACGGGATCAACAAATCCAGAACAACCACATTTAATCCGAAAGGAAACGGACAGTGCGAACGGTTCAACCGCAGCATGCATGATTTGCTGCGCACTCTAGAACCTGAACAGAAAAAACGTTGGCCGGATTTTCTCCCAGAGTTGGTGTATCTATACAACTGCACCCCCCATGCCACGACCGGCTTTACGCCACACATGTTGCTGTTCGGACGGGAGGCTCGACTCCCTCTTGATTTGTTCCTAGGAAAAAGGGAGAGTATGACTGGCTCATACACCGCACTGGAATATGTGAATGAACATATGCGAAGAATTAGAGAAATGTACAGGGTAGTACAGGAAAGACTAGAACATGAAGCTCGGCGAAGGGAACCGCCGGTACAGACAAAGGACCCGCCACTCAAACTGAACGACAGGGTATTACTGCGTAGCCACCCGTTAGGCAGAAACAAGATACACGACCTCTGGGGACAGGAGATATGGCAAGTCGTGGAGATGCCTAAAGTAGCAGGTGGCCCCTTTAAGATAAGACCCATCGGTCACGCCAAACCGGATCGGTGGGCGAATATTGCTCAATTAAAGAAATATTGGAATAGGCAAGAAGAGCAGTTACACACAGAGAAACCCAAGAGAATTAGGGAACCGGAAGTTACAACGGAAATTCACATACCCATCCCGGAACAATGTCACCATCAACAGAACAACAGCGTTACACAAGGGGAGGATACCGGCAACAATGAGGATCCCGGTCCCTCCAGAAGCAAAGAGACAATAGACCATCAGAATAGTGGTCCGCGGAGAAGCTTGAGGAACAGAAAGAATACGAAATTTTTTGTCAGCAACCATCAATTCTTTCATGGTCGCGCTGGTAGGAGAACAGACTGTTCAAAAAGTCATAAAGGTGAATTGGTGAAAGCACCAAACGGAAAAGGTGGATGTGAATTCTAGAACTGTTTGGTGTCTGAGGAGGATGATGTGGACACAGTTGATGTGAAAGAGGTATAACTGTCAATCATATACGAATGGGACGACATTGACAGTGAGTGGAACAATAAATTCTTTTTTTTTATGGTGGTGCGTTTGACTTTGAGGGAGTGCACCTGCCAAGCGTGTTTGTGGTTGATAACACACAAAAAAAGGCAGGGGTGGATGTAACTGGGGTAGGCCTGGCCACTAGTTACAACTGATAACGAACGATAAGCCGCGACGCAGTATGACAATCTGATGCAACTATAACAGGTGGCTTATTGAATCGGTCTGATAACAATCTCAAAGCCAACGCGTGCTATTTTGGGAAACGGTACGAGAAGTTTCAGACGAGCTGTCAACTTTGATTGATGGGATGCAGATGTTTTAGTAAATCGGACGGTACGTCAGAAACTGCGACATTAGTATTCGGATACATCGATTACAAGTATCGATTACGGAAATGGAGACAAGTACGACTACGAATACAAAGGATAAATAGGAGGGGACGGCTGAGATCGCTCTCTTCTCTTTTCACCGCTAGTTGTGACAGTATCAATGTTGGTTATTGAACGGGTTAGCCGTATTGTGTAAAGAAGGACTATAGACATGTGGATTCAGTTATACGAAGCCTAGTGAGGACTGTTAGGGGGTCAGTTGATCCAGACTATTATTGAGAAGCATTCCTGTTGATTTCTTGTGTGATTATGAAACATTTCTTGATTCATGTAATAAAGGATCAATAGCGAACCTGCATCTTGAGTATCTATACTGTGGTCGATGTTGTCTAGAATGAGTGGTCAGAACTCGTTAACATTTGGCACTACAGACAATTAGGTCTCATTACATGTGGCGTGCGAGCATAGTAACTGTTGGCTCGTTATAATTGGCGTTGTCGGCAGGATAAATGTCCGCCCGTTACATATATATATATATATATATATATATATATATATATATATATATATATATATATATATATATATATATATATATATATATATATATGTATATGTATATATACATATATATAAATATATACAGATTAAAGTTTGAAGTTTAAAACAACAGGTTATAGATGTAGCCTCCTCTAAACATGAAACCACCACGACAAGATGACCACGGACAATAAGGCCAAGTTTCTACTGCTGTAGGCTGTAGAGGCAGCGTCTGTGAGGGAAGGCAAAAAAAATGTTTTTAAAATAATAAAAATACTGACAATTGTAACGTGAACACACATCGGCAAATTGCTTTAAGTTTCACACGGTTTTAATATTTAGGTAAAACTCCCTAACTACACCACCAAACAACACCACTAATCCAACCACCTAACTACACCACTAAACTACACCACCAAACTACACCACTAAGCTACACTATAAAACCACACCACAAAACTATACCACTAAACTACACCCCTAAACTATAACACCAAACTACACCACTAGACTTTAGTGAGGCTCAACCCAGCTCTTAGAAGTACCTGGCAAAAATTGGGAGGAAGAAACAGCAACTACGCATTGCCGGTCAACTCTGCCTCATCTACCCTATGACGATCAAAATACTATAAGTTTAAAGTTTATTGGTCGAATATATAACTTACTAGTAGAGGATTGGATCATTGACGTTGTCATTGGTTTAGTTGTCGTTGTTGTCGTTATTGCAGTATCTAAAAAAAGATGAAACTTTATGTTTGATAAAGTGTCCTCATACTTTAAAAGTTACATTGATTCGATTAAAAATGTACACAAATCACTACTACTTTGTTGGAATATTATTCAATTAATTGCATGATTGTGGGTAGAGAATAAATTATAAAACATTTCATTTCAGTTCTCTTAAAATATTTTAAAAAGAAAAAGGTGATAAGAAACATTTTTGAGATATCTTAAGAATTTAAACAGCACCCAAACATAAAGTAAACTGTACGAGACAAATGGTTCAAATAGACAAAAGGTAAACCATAAACATACATTGCTTAGCACTGACAGCAACCTTAAACTTTTGGTCCCTACCATTTTTTGTTGAAATTTAACTAGTCTTTATCAATTATACCCGTGCCCATTTTGTAAACCTAAATACGATAAGTTTTAAATAATTAAATTATCCAATATTTTTCCTTTTTTTTTCGAAAATTGATACTGAATTAAATCTGATGGAAGATTTCCATTAATTATTACAACTAAAATTTAAAATGTCTTGATTTTTAAATTTTTTTTATATGTAGCTAAAGTGAAAAAAAATCGTTTTTCTTTAAACATGCATCATAGTTCTTCGATTATTACTAATATAAAATAGATCTCTATTGTGCGCTTAAGTAAAAGTATATCTTGCCTACATAATAGTTATAAAGAAATCGAATAAATAATCACAAATATTGTAAAAAAAAAAGCCCCAAATTTTTTTTTAATTAAAAAAATCAGGGACCTCATGAATAGCGCCATAGGTAACTGTAACTTTGTAATAAATGAGGTAAATACTGTATAAAATGTTATCTCACCACAAGTTGTCCCATTTAACGCAATCTTCTGATTAATGGTGACTAAACTTTGTTTCTCTGCCTGTGACAAACAGTTGAGTCCAGTTAAACATTTCTCGTAGTCGCTCACGTCTCTGAGGGGATACAATAGAGAAAGGGAAGTTTTAGAAGGTTTACAGCAGTTTTATATGCGTGCCGCCGTCATGTATAAAATCATGGTGTGGGATTTAAAAAAAATAAATAGTTAATTTCCTTACCTACAAGCTAATGTCTTGTTGGTTAGGTGTAGGAATACTGTGGTGACGAAAGTTGTCAAACATTTGTCTTGACCATCCAGGCAAGCTGAAAACAGGAAACATCGGGTGTTAAAAAAGATGCATCGATACTCGATACGTTGAAAATCTCGCTCTTTTTCTTTCTTTTTGTCTTTTTTTAACTCTTTCTCTCTTTCTGTTTCTCTCTCGCTCTTTATTCTAGAATCAGGCTAGTTTTACGTCCTGTAGATGAGCATAGAGTCCCCCGTTGTTAAAAAGAAAAGTGTTTTTCATCCAGAGGAAAGTAAAGGTATAGGGTCCGAGTGCTCACGACTCTATCCCTTCAAATGATGATGATAAAAAACAGGTAAAATCTACTTCCCCTGTGAGCCAGTTTGAAATAGTAACTTAAAATGTTTAGTATTGCGATAAAAACACCATAGTAACTATTATTTTTTTAAAATTTATATTGAAATTACTTTTTACGTAGGCTACTAAAAACAGGTGAAAATAAATTTAAAAATATTTTTACACATATTTTATTTCGATGTTTGCATTCAATCACATACAGGCATTATCTGAATCAGATTTATTCAGAGGCGTAGCGACCCTTCCCGGCGACCGGGGACAAACTTTTCGATTTGCACCCCCCTCCCCCCCCAAGATCCCGATTTGCACCCCCCCCCCTCTCAAACTTTCGATTTTCACCCTCCTCAACCTTTCAATTTATTTTTCCAACCCATTTTTCCAACATATGTCCCCCCCCCCGCCCCCCCCCCCCTTCGCTACGCTACTGGATTTATTCATTGTGAATTCTACAATTACTCTATTCAGTTTTTTTAGGCTTTATTATTTACTTTTATCTTTTTTTTTTTATAAAACATTAAAAACTTATTTTTATGGATTAAAATAGTAAGAAAAGCATGATAAAAATTTCCAAAATCTCCAAAATGGGTGTCAAAGTCCGTCCAAAGCGAAATATAGTTAACGAAACTCCATTTGATTTATTGTACAAAACTTAGGTAAAATAAACGACCAAGGAAGATTTATTAAAAAACAAACAAACAAACTCTAATAAATTTTTTTTCTCTTTTCTTTCTTTTTTTTTTAAATTAGTACTTTTATTTTCCAATTTAACACAAATACAGTGATCTTCCACGCCGTTTGGGTGGATATTTACAAGATAGTTACATTGGTGTACAGAGTATCGTATATAAATAGCGGAATATGTAAGTGAATACAAAGGATGCATTGAACGTAATGCATTAAATATCAAAGAATTAAATAGACCCCATTCTTATATTGTTAAACGTCTAACGTGTTTATAGTCTAAATTTATGTTTAAAAACTTAATATTGATAATGTTTTAAAACAATTTTCATTTCTTAAACTTAGAATCATAATTGTCAACATGTTCATTAAACAAAATTAAAAAAAAAAAATTACTTTGTACACAAATTTTAATTATGTCTGAAAATTATTTACATTTAGTCCTTTAGCACTCATTACTTCCCTTGATAAATTAGGAAAACAAAATTACTTCCCTTTATAAAAAACTTCACATCGGGAGGAAAAAAATGTACCTTTTATTACTTTTTAAGACGTTGCGGAAAATATTACATAATTAGCCTGGATTGATCAAGTGAAACGTGGCAGGTATTTTAAATACTGCCTTTTATTTATTTTATACACTGAATTTACTGTTTTTTTCTTATTAATTTTAATCGAAGACAGTTAAGTAACAAAAGACATCTTTATTCGGGAACGGGAATTCCCGCAGGTTATTATTTGTGTCTTTTTAGCGCAATTTCCATTCTGGAGAATTGCGTTTATTAACTCGTCATTTCTGGGAATGGATGGATGAATGAATGAATGAATGTATGGATGAATGTGTGTCCGGGCTTTAAGTCGTATCTCCTCCTCAACGAAGCAATATCGATGACTAGTTCCAAAAGCAATTGTGTTAAGCAAGTTACGAGAATGAGCATAGGCCATAAAAATTCCGGGTTTCTTTCATGTATTTCCCGAAAAAGCCAAAAAACCTTGAAAAAATTCAGTTTGTGGCCCATATCTCGGCAACCAGACCACTTAGCGACTTGAAACATGTACCAATCGATTCCCGCCATCATTTAGAACAATATTGCCGAAGAAAGTTTTCAAAAATATCCTCTCGTTCGGTCACAACTTTTACAATTACATAAACACCTACAAACCGATTGTTCTTCTAGCTTGAACGCACCCAAGCATTATACGTCAGAGCTATTTTTAGATAACATAAGGAAATTGCGCATAAATGTCACTAGACTTTTTTAATTAACTTGTTTTTTTTTTTGCACATTCGTTTTGTCTGTTCTTTTTTGCGCACAAATGGGAATTCTTTTTTTTTTCCGGTCGCACCAAACATGCTGAATGTTGCCTTTTTTTACGTCACCATAGTGCGTACCTTTTTAGCGCAATTTCCATTCTGGAGAATTGCGTTTATTAACCCGTCATTTCTGGATGTATCAATGTATGAATGGATGGATGGATGGATGGATGTGTGTCCGCAGCTTTAAGTCGTATCTCCTCCTCAACGAAGCAATATCGAGGACTAGTTCCAAAAGCAATTATGTTAAGCAAGTTACGAGGGTTTCTTTCATGGATTTCCCGGAAAAGTAAAAAAAAACCTCTAAAAAATGCAGTTTTTGGCCCATATCTCGGCAACCAGACCACTTAGCGACTTGAAACATATACCAATCGATTCCTGCCATAATTTAGAACAATATTGCCGAAGAAAGTTTTCAAAAATATCCTTTCGTTCGGTCACAAATTGTTTTTTGAATTAATTAAAATTTGGACCGAATTAGTAGGCATTTTATCCAACCACACCACACGCGTCATCACGTTCAATAGCTGCGCCATCACGTTCAATGGCTGCGTCATCACGTTCAGTAGCTAGGCGCGCAATGGTTTTTAGTCATGTAACTCTATTGTAAATAAAACATGTAAAATACTGAAAAATTTTTTAATAAAAAACGTTTTAATAACTAATTAACTAACCAATGGTTTTACTAACACTGCTCTTGATTTACGCTACGACAGAGCTATTTTTAGATAACATAAGGAAATTGCGCTAAAATTGTCACTAGACTTTTTTATTACCTTGTTTTTTTAAAACAGACGTTTTTAACAGTACATGTAGCAGTATAAAGTTTTACTACCGAAGAAACAATTGGATAAGAAAAGTTACTATAGTCTTTAAGTGAATCAAATCCGGGCGTCCTCCGCCGCCCAGACAGGGTGCTATTTCACGCCCCGGGCTTTCCCGTGCTCGCTTTGGCGTCTACGTTCGTTTAAGTGAGTGCAAAAGACTATAACTAAGTTGGGGTACTATAGTCGTTTACTAAGCTGAAACAGGCGGTTCCGCCGGCGCCCCAGCATGGTGCGATTTGGCGCCCCGGGGTAGACTGTGAGCACTTTGCGTTTATGTTTGCGTTTGTGTTTTCTTTGTGTTTGGGTTGGGTTTGCATTTGGGTTTAGTTTGTTTCGTTTGCTTTTTCGTTTGTGTTTTTCTTTGTATTTGTGTTTGTGGTTGGGTTTGTGTTTGCGTTTTTTGTTTGTTTTGGTTGGTTGTTGTTATGGTGAGCAATGCCGGGTATATGCTGATTACTAAACACCCATGTCATGGTTCTTTACAGATAGGTTTTTCACATAGGCCAGTGCATTTTATTTCATTCGGGGGGGGGGTAGTGATATATTTTTTTACTTATTTTACTACTTACGACATGGGATTCTGATCATTTGCCTCCCTAGAGCGATGAGATTTTCTTTATCTACATCCTTCAAGCAGCTGACAGTGTTGACACAAAGAATAAACGCTTGAAGATCGCTGAAGAAAAGGGGTTGACATTTTTATTAGTATTTCAATTCATCGAAAAATCAATCATTTACGCGAAATAAGAATCAACTCGAAAAATGAGTAGTTGGCATTAAAGAAACCATAATATTTTGATTGTTTTTAAAAATTGAATATTATTGGTAGAGCGTATTGGTATTAAAATGATTGCCCCAAGATTCTGTTGTGTTATGCCGTGCTCAGTCATCAAGCAGAAAAAATATCATGACTAAACTTTTCACAAGAAAAAAGTTTTGTTATTTTGTTTTTCAATGTTTGTTTTAAATTTCTGCTTCGTTAGTCTACGATCTACCGTTGGCATGAAAATAAAAGGTGCAAATATGGGATCTCATCCGTTTTCACGTCATAGTCTTGCAATGGTAAAACATATATTTTGTGAATGCTTAAATAATATAAATACATTTGTCTGTAAATTAAGGTCTTGTTGTTTTAAATAATATAAAAACATTTACCTGCATACTAAGGTCTGGTTGTCGCCATGCACGGCTACGTTCTCACTCAGTTTTGTCATACATACTGCCTGGGCGTCGCAGCCTGATTTAAATGTATTTTACAAATCTCATTCAAATACTGATGGAATTTGATTTGTAGGAGTCCTATTGTAATTCAGATCATATTTACAAAACATGTAGCACCAACAATGCAACTACCACTATTTACCACGCACTCTAAATTTAAAAGTAATCAAAATATACAGTTTCTAAAATATTTAGTTTGTAAAACGTATTTTAATAATACATGTCGATAGAAAATTGATTATTAGGCTCGCGTGTAACTTATTTTCTTATAGTACGCGTGTGGTCCGTAAGAATATGAAACAAGTTGTTGACTTATATGGATTTTATATGATTTTATAACCTTTTTATGATCACATAAATTAATCAGTGTATACTAATCAATTAATGTAATTAAAATAATTTATGTTCAATGAATAAATGTAATTAAAATAATTTAATGTTTAGTTAATATATGAAATTAAAATAGCAATTAAATTTTTAATGAATAAATTCAGTTAGCTTAATAATTAAAAGTTGAATGAATTAAGTAATTACAACAATAATACAATTTTTAATGAATAAATGTTTTTAAAAATAATTTAATTTTTTACTTACTTGGTGGTTTTGTTTGCGCAACGATACCTTAAAGTGAGGAAAAGGTGGCATTTGAAAATAGTTTAAAGGTATTATTTCATGAAATGTAAAAGAAATTATTTATATATAATAATTTAATCAAATAATAATTTTATTGAAAAAAAATCATTGTAAAGGGAAACAGCTATATAAAATCACGTAAAATTAAATACATTATATTATGATGTATTGTAACATTAAACTTAAAACCAACTTTTTTTTCTAAAATTTTAATTTACTAATAACATACACAAAACTAACAAGAATTTACCTTCAAATAAAAGAAAAAAGCTAAAAATTTGGAAAAACATTTTTTTTAGTTTTTAAACTTCCACAAGGAGTGATAAGCCAGTAAAATAATGGATATAATCCGTGAGCACTGGTTTGCCAAACAGTTTGAATTAAAACTCGGGTAAGTTTTGCAATTACTTAACTAGTGGCTGGGGATTGTATCACGTGACGGGTGTTTGATGAGTGAAGCTGATTAAATAAGGGCTGGCCTCAACGATGCTTCAGTAGGTCAGCCAAGTGTGGGGCTGATTAGCGATTTAACTGTCACTTACAGGTGGGGAAGGTGACGGTGAATATTGCTTAAGATGTGCTGTCAGTGACAGCTGATGCAATGTCAGTGACAGCTGATGTACTGTCAGTGACAAATTCATGACAGTCTTAGACTCTTATTTAACCATCTGAACTCCCTTAGGAAAGTTGTTGTGTTTTAAGCTTTCACCGCACGTATTGTTTTTTCAATATTTTGTTTACCTGGCTAATCTTTTGAAAGAAACAGAAATACGAATCATTAAAAGCATGCTATAATGTCAAATTCATGACAAAAACCAACAAACTTTGAAGCTGGCAGAGATTGTGCCTTGTTTGGTCTCACCCATCTGAACTCCCTTAGAAAAGTTGTAGTGTTTTTTAAGCTTTCATCGCAAGTATTTTTTTTTCAATATTTTTTTTATATGGCTGATCTAATGAAAGAAACAGAAATACGGATCTTTGAAAGCGTTTTATAATGTCTAGACAGAAACCAACAAACTTTGAAATTCGTAAAGACTGTGTCTTAGTTGGTCTCGCCCAGTAAGGTCCGCCCAATTTGTCCCACCCAGTTGGCACTCGCCCAAATGACGCTCGTAGCCACACGAGATTTAAACATATGCTTAAATGTACGTTTTTATGAAAGTCTGAAAGTTTTATTTATCTGTGAGGGGGTGGCGGGGTGGTCAGGTGAGGTGGTGACGGGGTGGTCAGGTGAGGGGGTGGCGGGGTGGTCAGGTGAGGTGGTGGCGGGGTGGTCAGGTGAGGGGGTGGCGGGGTGGTCAGGTGAGGTGGTGACGGGGTGGTCAGGTGAGGGGGTGGCGGGGTGGTCAGGTGAGGGGGTGGCGGGGTGGTCAGGTGAGGGGGTGACGGTGTGGTCAGGTGAGGTGGTGGCGGGTGGTCAGGTGAGGGGTGGCGGGGTGGTCAGGTGAGGGGGTGGCGGGGTGGTCAGGTGAGGGGGTGACGGTGTGGTCAGGTGAGGTGGTGGCGGGTGGTCAGGTGAGGGGTGGCGGGGTGGTCAGGTGAGGGGGTGACGGGGTGGTCAGGTGAGGTGGTGGCGGGGTGGTCAGTTCACGAGGACAAGATGTGTGACGATGAGTAGGGGGGTCAGAAAATGTGACGTCATGCTTTTACGTTTCATAAATTAAATTTTTATTAAAATAATTAATCAGATTGCTTTTGTAACTTTAAAGAATTAATTGGTGTTGTAATTTACAAGAAAGTTAACGAAAGCACCCAATGTAGGTCAAGGTTACAAACGCAATCCCTGTTTCAGATACATACATCTGATATAATTTGGGAATGGGGGGTGGATGGGTGGGAGTATAGACTGAAGTGTGACGTCATTTGAGGGCAAGAGGATTTACTTTTTGTGACGAAATATCGGGGGGGGGGGGGGGGGAGAAGTAAAAATAGTTTTATAAAGTGTGCAGAGTTTCTTCCAGGCATCTCTTCCGAAAATTTTTTACCGCCCCCCCCCCCCCCCGAACGAAATGAAATTTATATAATTTATATAGAAAATAAATACTTTTAACAGAGTCCGCCCCCCCCCCCCCCCGAAGAAAGTTTACCGCCCCCCCCCCCCCCGAAGATTTCAAGTGCCCCCCCCCCCCCCCCCGGAGAAAAAAGTCTGGAAGAAACACTGAAAGTGTGACGTTATTCATGGGCGAGGCCAAAAGTGTTTTTTTTTTAAAATCTAAAACAGGTTGAACTTTTGAACAAATTTAGAAATCACTGATAAAATGGGCAGACATCTTTTTCTTCACATGTGATTTTCCCGGATAGATAAGGTTGATTCTAGATCACTTGTGCTGGCCCTTTCTTTCAATTCCGTCACAAAAACTGAAGTTATAACTCATCCCCCCCCCCCCCCCACACACACACATTGTCACAAAAGTCAGAACTCTCTACCCCAACTGGTTGATGTATATATCGATGGATAAATGGACCTATAAACCTATATAAACCTGCATCAGACACCAGTAAAACCATAATTCTCTACACTAATCAAATCGGCCTATATCTAACTTTAAAAAGATGTATTTGATATGTTCCCTCCACACTCAGCCTCTGACAAACACTTGACATACGTGCTCTAATTATACCTTTGATCCCCCTCCCCTCCCCCCGACATACAACTACCCACATCACCTCATCATTTCACCTTTATCATTCTAATTACGTCCACACAACATCACAAGGTGGTACACTCTAGCCCACAAACTCTCGATAAAAAGTGAGTCCCAACATAAGTTCTCTTTTTTTACCTGTAGCTGCCAATGTTGATATACAGGAACACTGTCAACTCTAGGTCGTGGTGTGTCCACACCACATTTAGCAGCATCACACACACACATATATACACACACACACATGCACACACGCACACACCCTGCAGTAGAGCGAGAGAGAAGTGTAGCGTGACGTCATACCTCACGCGAAACTACGCAGCCAGTATACAAGCCTCTCACTGAAGTATAAAAAGACGTGAACGATCATTATAAAAAAGATACTCTCAAAATAAACATTTTAAATTTACGAACTTGGTATCTCTGAAAGCTGAGTTCCCGCAATGTCTTAAAAGAAATCTTTGCGACCCTAAAAGAAGAAGAGTTTTAGGACCAATTTCAGGATATGTTTTAGCTTCGTCTTTTAAAAAAGTAATAGGTTACAATATAAATTTTGTTTATATAAAAAAAATAAACCGGGAGTGATCTCCCCTAAACTTTCTCGAATATTCTTATATAACTTGAAATATAGACATGATTTTTTAATTTCTTAAACTTTTAAAAATAGAATCTCATAGAAAAAAGAATTGCGCACCAAGCGAACGCCAAAACAAAATGTGCATAATAGTGCGCAATATTATTAGTACTTAATAAATTTACATGCGTTTTTTGAGAAATCGAAATTAGCGTAAATTAGTACTTCCGGTCAACGGAAATTACTCAAAATTTGACAGAAGGCAGAAAATTAGATCTTTTACTTACATGTGAAATTTCATTTATCTACCTGAAATAGTGCTCAAGTTATAGGCTTTTGAAAAATTCAAAGTAGACAAAGTACCACTTCCGGTTATCGGAAATCGCTCAAAAGTTGATCAGGATCTACGATTTTGATGAAATACTTATATATGAAATTTCATCAACCTAGCTGTAACGGTACTCAAGGTATCGTGTTTACACACAGACAGACAGACAGACAGACAGACATACGGACAAGATTGCAAAATTATGTTTTTCCGTATCAGTGAGGTGTAAAACGTCGAGATTTGTAAAAATCTCGATTTTTTTTTTGCACGATTACAAGACTTTCTCTATACGAGAAAGTAAAAATCTTTAAAAAATATTAAAACAGACACGATTTGAAAACAATGTTGTAAACTGATTTGAAAGCAGCTATAAAATTTGATTAGTGTCCCTGAGTTAACGTTTTTTCCCAATCTTTTTAGGATCGAGTGGTCGAGTTGTTAGCATATCCAGGTCTATCACAATCGTGGCCTAATGTACACTATTTATATCACACTGGTGGTGGAGGGGTTGGGGTTCCTGACAATAACACCATTGACTCTCCTAACCTAGCACCAAAAATGTCATTAGGACACGCCCTGTTTTACCTTAATTACACTCACATTGGATTTCTAATTTTGTCGTTTCGTGTCTCAAGTGTGACATTCAACTTTCCTTTGACAAAACCTAAGCATTTTTTTTATTCCTCCAATCCTAAGTAAGATTAGCCACAATATGGTGAATTTGTTGGACATCCTTAATATTCTTCACAAGAAATTCAACTCCATTAAACGGATAATGAAAGAATTAATCTTTTTTTCTAAGGAATCATATATTTATACGTGTACATTTGCCAAGCATGTTACATTAAAAAATCCGGTTTGTAAAAAAACTGTTTGACGAACTAAGCACAAAACAAATATAGATTTTGTGAACTCAGTAACATGGGGGTTAAACATAGACTGGGGTTTGTTTATTTAGTATGGTAGATGGGAAGTGACGTCACCACACGTTAAAGGAAGACTACCTGTCTTATTTATATGGGGTAAAGTTCATCTGGGGTATCCGACACAACTGGGGTATCCGACACAACTGGGGTGTCCGACACGACTGGGGTGTCCGACACGACAGGGGTGTCCGACACGACACAACTGGTGTGTCCGACACAACTGGGGTGTCCGACACGAGTGGGGTGTCCGACACGACTGGGGTCACAACTGGGGTATCCGACACAACTGGGGTGTCCGACACGACTGGGGTGTCCGACACGACAGGGGTGTCCGACACAACACATTTGGGGTGTCCGACACGACAGGGGTGTCCGACACGACACAACTGGTGTGTCCGACACAACTGGGGTGTCCGACACGACTGGGGTGTCCGACACGACTGGGGTGTCCGACACGAGTGGGGTGTCCGACACGACTGGTTGTCCGACACGACACATTTGGGGTGTCCGACACGACTGGGGTGTCCGACACGAGTGGGGTGTCCGACACGACTGGGGTGTCCGACACGAGTGGGGTGTCCGACACGACTGGGGTGTCCGACACGACTGGGGTGTCCGACACGAGTGGGGTGTCCGACACGAGTGGGGTGTCCGACACGACTGGGGTGTCCGACACGAGTGGGGTGTCCGACACGACTGGTTGTCCGACACAACTGGGGTCACAACTGGGGTGTCCGACACGACACATTTGGGGTGTCCGACACGACTGGGGTGTCCGACACGACTGGGGTGTCCGACACGACTGGGGTGTCCGACACGACTGATATGTACCACACGACTAGGGTGTTTGACACGACACCGTCTCACTGTTTGTCATTCTTTCTTAAGTTTTAAAATTGTAGTTCATATAAAATGCTTC